GTGAACGTCCCCACGTGAACGTCTCCACGTGAACGTCTGCCCGCACACCGAACAGTAAACCAGCTGTGACTCTCGTTTCTGTCATTTAAGGTCGGCAGTTTTCACGCGTCAGAGGCACAAAGAGCACCTTGTGGTGCTGTTAGCATCTTTCACTTGGTGCGAGATCCTAAATACTTCTAAACTACTAAAGCTGAGTGCTCCCTCTCGCTGACGCGTGCTCTGAATGTGCACAGCATCATGGTGCACACATGCTGCACACTGTGGGGAGCAGGTATCCTCTCACATCATCTCCAAAAACAGGCCGAGCGTGTTTATTGAAATGATGTGATGAGCTCTGTATCTCTGTGCTCACCAACACATCTCCTCTTTCCCAGCTTGTGTTTGTCAGTGAAAGAGTCCCGTGTGTCTACTGAAGGCATCATGAGTGGAGCCGTGTCTTAGAGAAAACAGCATGAGCACATTAGCAGAATTATAAGTCGGTAAAGACATTTTAGCGGCTGATAGCCATCCACTTCTTCCCCTGCTCACAAATAAACTCCCCGGTTTCTGGGTCAAACAGTATGTATGTATGTGCAAGTCAACATCCCGCCCCAGCAGCAGGCGTGCAGGTATACAGGATGATCACACGACAGTGCTCAGCCAGGCTCACGTAAATCCACCCGACTGGGGACCAGAATGCATCCGCTGCCCTGACCAGTGACGGGCCAGTCAGCCTCCTGGTGGTCTTAATAAGAAGCTGGCTGTTTTCATGCATCTGCAGCACAGCCACACGCCAACACGTCGGTATGTGGAAGCCAATAACTGTGAGTAAAAGTTTGCCAAACAGAAGTTTGGACGTGCACACTTTATAGAAGCTAACGCTATCCAGCCCTCGATCGAAGCAGTTAGACAATGATGGAGGAGTCAGATCAGCCTGTCGTCGGTCAACACGTCCAGTCGCCCAACCTTAGCGTGCACTTTGTTACAAACACAAACCTTTATGAGAAATTCACTGACATAAAAATTGGATTGTAAATGATGGCATCAACTGGTGAGGCTCCCCTGATGTGCACCATGAGCAGGAGCTTGGTGCTAGCTGGCACCACAGGCCGGAAACGCTGCAAAGCTTCACTTAGAACGACGAAGCTGGCGTGCACGTGCCAAACACTCACGCTCCTCTACGTGCCAAATACGCTCCAACACACCGTCGTCACAGACGCGTGTTACAATGCACAGCATTACAAAGCATGTGGCTTGTGTAGTGTTATAAGCTGTTAATATAACTACAAATGAAAAATTGAAATTTAAGCCTATTTCCAACAAAGGCTGTGTTCACGAGAAGCGACCTGAAAGTCAGCGTGAGCTCTGTGAAGACTCTTCATTGTTAAACTTTGACGAAACATTCTGAGTCTGGCCAAAGTTTTTTAACCAAACCTGCACAGCAGATTCAAACTAAGAACAGTGGGGGCTTCAGATCAGCCTTGTCTGGCTCTTATGGCCGTGTGATCCTCACACGCACTGTCAGGTACCCCCGAGTTGTGGTGTCATGTTCTCATAAACAGCATCCAGCATGTGTATGTGCAAAGGTGTGTTTGTTAGAAAAGCTGAGATCCATAAGTATGAGGCATGTTTCCAACCTGCACACTTACCCTCTTTACTGAGTGACATTGCCTCTGCAGCCTTTTTGCCATTCTTATTGCAGTCATCCACATCAGGCCCTGAAACACATGTTCAAGACAGCCACTGTCAGCTGTGATGTTGGTATCACCATTAGTAATGCTCATCTTACATCACACATAGCCCATATTAATAAGCTGTGTTATGTAATTGACTCAGATCAACCGTGTCTTCAGGAAGTACTCGTAGTCCAAGTATACGATCAGCAGGCAGTAGCTAATGGCACTGGGTGGTGGGGAGACTATCTGACAGTTAATGGGCAGAGCAGCACTGGACAGTGAGTCTAAGCTAGCAAGAACACTGTGGGCAGAAGCCACATATATGAGGAATCGTGTGGCGAGTCCACGAGTATCACTGTTTAGGAAGCGAAGTGGGAACGACACACAAAATGTTTCCTTCTATCACAGGATGGGCCAGCGGTGCAGAAGCGTCAGACTCCTCCTCCGTCACCGGCGTCTGCTCTGAATCCGGCTGCTGCTAGCGTTAGCATGCTGATGCTAACTACCTCGTCGCCACCGGCTAGTCGGGCTCGCATGGTAGCTTGTATCCTCGCTTTCCACGGCCAGCCGTCCACACTAGCCTCCTTCCGCTCGGATGTCAGCCAGCCCTGCCGGTTTTCTCCACACGAATGGTCTCCCCTAAACGCTGCAGACTGTTTTATGACCACACAGGTGGAAATCATGCTACAATGACTGTGTCCTTACAATTATAATTTTGTAACCTAGTGAAGACCAACATGTTACCCACCCAGCACTAGGACCCGGTAGGGTCTTTGTTTGGGTAACATGTTTAGCTCCGTCCTGCGTTTCCGCGAAAATAAACACTGCTGCTTCCGTTAAATGGCTCCGTACCGATCAGTGTTTGTGTCAGGGTGTTTCCTTACCATCCGCCGGCGTCATGCCCGCCCAATCGGCCCAGGCAGTCCAGCTTTGACCCACGAAATCATCGAGGCTAGGAACCCGCCGATCCAGAGCAGCCATTACTTTTACTGCGCGTTCACGAACCGCCATCATCACTGCGCGGCAAGCAGCTTACGTCATCTCGCGTTCTCGACAGGAAAGGAACTTCCTGCGTGCGCGTGCTGGGGACACCCACACAAACAGAAGGCTTGGCTCCAAGAGCTGTCCCACTTTTGTACCGTGGAAATGACAGAATGTTATCAACACAGCACACGCGTGGACGTAGTATGGTTGAATGCGCAGTGAAAACAGAATGACATGTAAGAAACATCACAGCTTCCACAGATCCGCTGCCGCCTGTCTTTACACCTTGTCGCGTGTGGTGAGGCACATGATCAATAGTTGGTCCACGACCCTGTTAAGGGACAGAGGCCACCCACTTTGTCCCCTCTGCATAGACTGGTACTCCTCTATCATGTACCAGACAGCCTGGTTAGAGTGCCACAGCTGCACAGGTACATTATCCTCTGAGCTTCCTCCATTCATCCTTCTTCCACCTGCTCCTGTCTGACACTTACCTCCACCAGACTATTTTATCTTCTCCTCCATTTCACTTCCTGTCCACACCATGATGGAGCAGTTGGAACTTTGCTTGCTCTCCTGCATATATCTGCCTTCTTTCCTTCTGTCTCCATCATATCAGCCAGCTCTCTCCCTGTAACAGTGCCTGCCACACGCCTGCCTTTCCTTCTCTCTTGTTGCCTCTTCTTTTGTCTTCATGTAAGAGTAGCACATTTGTACCGGCACCCTGCTGCCCACCAGCACCTGAGGCGATCATTGTTAACCAATCTAAAGCCCAGCACAAACAGCAGGACCTAGTTCGGCGTTCTGTATCGTACGCTCACACGGGATAATGTTTGCCAGGAGGTGGCACAGATCAGTGAAAGGATGTGGTCTTGGTGAGGAGAAGAAGAGAATGAGTCCAGGCAGCGTTTCCAGTAATCCACATGGATATTGCACCAGTGAAAAGGGAGCATTGGAGGGTGAGCAGGCAGGCGAGTGCGGAGTTAAGCAGCGTCCTGTGGAGGCGGCTGAGTATGACAGGCACTCCTATAACCAGCAAAGGCACACACAGGAACCTGGAAGGGAATTTTACCAAAGGAGCAGCCTGGTTAGTTAGTTAGCTTTTAACACGCTGATCTTTCCTATTGAAGGTCAAACTGTGTAGTCAGGTGAGCGCAGTAGTCCACTCCAGCGTTGTCCATCGGAGACAGCGAGCCAAGGTAAAGCCACACCTTGCAGCTGATGTCTGTGAACGTGTTATTCATGTGTCCATTACTTGCAGACTGGACTGCTGCAGTTCTCTGTACTTTGGTTTGGACCAGGCCTCTCTTCATGGTCTCCAGTTGGTCCAAATGCAGCTGCTCGCCTGCTGACGGGCACTAAGGAGCCTGTAACCCCAGCACTGGCCTCCCTGTTCCTGTCTAATTTAACATCCTACTTCTTGGTTCTAAATCAGTTAACAGCGAGCTTCTACCTGTCTGAGTTGTGTATTTATGCTCCAGAAACAAGCATAAGCTAACGTTAACGAATCCACAGACTAAAGTGTGGTGGTGACCAATGTTGCCTCTAATGTTTCATGTGTCTGAACACACAAACTCCCTGAGCGGCCCCTGGACCACTGTGGTCACGCCAGCATCCAAGTTACATGTTTATTAAAATAACAAATTACAGCATTTACATTTATGTTAGACTACTTTTAATTAACTGCTTTATCCCACTTACAATGAAAACAAAAATCTTGTTGATGACCTGCAGCATGTTAACACTGTTGGAAGGAAAAATAACTTCAACTGCAATTTTGAAAAGACACCTTCCTTTTTTTGTTATAAAGCTCTGACTGTGTTATGAGTCTGACTCTGTGGGAGAGGGTCTGTAACTCTGTCTGCAAATACAGGATATAAAGACCAATGTTGGGCAATTAAGTATATAGTTACTTCTTCAAAAAGTAACTGAGTTTTGCAAACAACAAAGTTCCGTCTGTCCTGCTCACATCTCCAATGGTCGTACCAGGGGCGATTTTAGCCCATTTTTGGGGGTGCTTCAGTGATTCCCCAAAATGAATCAAAGCACCCCCAAAGATTTCTTACTTCTTTTTTTTTTTTTTACAATATTTGCTGTTTGTGTGACACACTACTAAAAATATAAAAAGCATACAGTGCTGTACTTGTTTGAGACGTAACACTTTAACAACAAAAGTATAGATAACCCCCCCTCCCTTCAAAATGGTTTGTTCCAGCTCTCCCCTGCTCTGGCTCTAGCGCTCTGTCTGCCAGAGCGATGGTGGCTGAGACGCAGCGAGCGGAGGTGGAAGTGCCTGGCTTAAAAGAGTTAGGTAGGAGTCAGGCCTTGTTTATTTTTATTTATTTATTTATTTATTTTATTTGTCACTGAATGATTGATTTATTTTGAACATGACTAAAATAACAACAAAATACACTTTAAACAACAATGAGACAAAGGGTTGGTACAAACAGACTTAAAGGTAAACTCATTTGATCCTACCTCAACATACAACATACATGTATAATTACATACAATTCTATAAGTCTACAAACAGATGTCACGCATAAAAATCCTAATGATGAAGCTAAATATTGGGTTTAATTGTGCCTGTCTGTAGAACACATGAAATGTTTTGAATAAAAAAGGGTCCACGCATATCTCAAATCAGGCACCAAAGTATGTATCTCATTTACAGTGACAGAGTTTTCCCTTCCTTCCTCTCCTTTTACATAAAGTATAATTACCATTATATAAGCAATCATATATCTGTGTCTATACATACATATACCTAAATAAGTATATACAAAGGAGGGGGAGAAAAACAAACAACCCCCCCCCACCTGCCCAGACCAATGTGTAAAATCTTGGAGCAGATATGGTGCCACAAAAAGTGCCATTACTGGGTCTGGGGGAGCTGTTTTTAAAAATATCAGACAAAGTTTTAAATATTTTAGACCAGCAGGTGGCGATATTAGGACATGTCCAAAACATGTGACAACGGGGCAGAATTCTGGCCACATCGATCACAGCTTGAGTCCGCCCCTGGAAACATCTGTCGTAGGATCCAAAACGAAATTAAAATCGCCGCCAAGCATCAGTTTATGGGTGTCCATATTAGGTAAAGAGGATATAAATGATTTAATAAAACCTGCATCATCAACATTAGGGCATAAATATTTGCTAGTGTAACCTGATTGTTAGAAAGTTTCTCTGTAACTATGATATAACGTCCACGAGGGTCTGATAGTACGTTTGACGCTATGTTTTTTGATACTAATGGCTGCACCTCTATTCTTAGCTGTGAATGAAACACCTGCGCTCCATCCTCCACGCAGCTTCTGATGATCCTGTTTCTCAAACGGGTTTCCTGCAAGTATCCTATATCTGTCCCCAGCTTTTTAAGGTGTGCCAGAATGTTGCCCCGCTAACAGCACCATTGAGTCCTTTACAATGCCACGACACAAAATTTACTAGGTTTTAATAATTATCAATAACCATTATTTAACTTGTAAATAAAGATTTGCAACCCAATTAAACCCTTTCCCCTCCTTTTTAATAAAATGGCCTCCAAACAAAATACAAACAAACGTGCAGGTGAGAACCCAAACAGAACAGTCGCTGCCCCTCTCTGCTCCTCCCTGACCACAGCGCTCCAGCAGGACCTGCACAGAGAGGGCTCAACAAAAGTATTTAAGTCTCAGCTCAGAGACACGGACATCTGACTTACCACTAAGCTCCCAAAGAACTATATTATTCATATCCAGTTTAATTTTGATAAAGTTTGATAAAGCACACTCACAGTAATCATAACATCAATAATAATAACATTAATAAATAAAAGGGAAAGAAAGTAGTTCAGGCTCTGCCATTGACCTTAACCCTTGTTATGATGGTTTACATACAAGGAGAGATTACATTGGTAAGAGAATAAACATCATCTTGTAACTTAAATCACCTTAATATCAATTTAAATATTAGCTATGAATTTACCTGCGAACATATAATTCATTCTCCTTCTATAATCTTATTCATTCTCTCAAAACAGAACAAAGAAAGGAAGAAGATGTAAGAATATCCTGAGCAGCATAATAACATATTTGACCTGAATAAGAGTTTAGCGCGACCGTCCGGTAACGTCTTTCTCGATCAGCTGCCAGCGCCTCCTATCCAGTTTCACCTTCCGATGTGATCAGCTTGTTGGACAGGATACATTTCTCGTGTCTCTGGAGCCGTTTGCTGTAACCACCTGGCTGGATACAGCTGTGTTGGATGCCAGCGCTGCGGAGTTTCTGCTTCAGTTGATTGAAGGTTGCTCGCATCCGCCCAGCCTCAGGACTTGTGTCGGGGAAAATATAAACTGGAGACCCGTCGAAGTTTCCTTTATTACGAGACAGTCTCAGGATCTTCTCCTTGTCTGTGAAGTAGTGCAATCGGATAATATCGGGCCTCGGTCGTTCCCCGCTGCGTGGTTTGGGGATAAGGCTTCTTCTCGATCAATAACAACAGGGCGGTCAAAGTTATCTACTCCAGAAACTTTGCGGCAAAATCGGTGACGTTATTCGCTTCTGCGCCTTCTGCAACACCAACTATTCTGATATTCTGTCTGCGACTTCCATCCTCTCAGGCCATGTGTCTGTTTAGCTGAAAAACATGACACCAGGTAACCTGCAGTGTGGGAAACGTGTTTCCCGACGATGTTTGCTGCCCTACAGTCCGCCCTGCTCTGCAGTGAAATCAGCACCGTCCTGTTGCTCCCATTGAAGTGTACACAGCCTGTTTAAACTCTAAAACTTAACACTGCCTGCTGTTGTTACCACTGTCCTGCTTGGAATGGATACTGACTGACTGGATGCCCATTAACCTTATAACTGTTGTGTGTGTGTGTGTGTGTGTGTGTGTGTGTGTGTGTACAGATAGACAGCCAGGTGCATATGAGGAAGGTTTTTCAAAAAAAGGAGCCACATTCAGGTGAAAGTGTAAAATCAAATGACCTGTGAATCAGGAATAATGTTGGATCAGTGTTTCAATGTTTATCTTTTATTAGGTGTTCGTGTGGTTTGGTTATTTGCCTTTTGGTTGAAAGTACACTGAGAGGACTTTTCATTAGTGATCTTAATAGTAGTTTTTCATATTAATGTCATTTTTCATCTAATTGAATCTATTTGTGT